GTCTTCAAGAACAGCGAGGTCATCAGAAATAACTACTTGATCTATGATGGAAATTCAACTGCAAAATGGATATTTTTTATCATCTTTGGTGGGTTTGTGAGGAAGCAAAGACATACTGGGACCAGGTTTTTACTTTAATTCAGAAGTTTCTTTAAAAAACCCCCGTAAATTTGAAACAGAGGTTTTCCCTTTAGGTTTGATGGACAAAGAACTTGAAAGAATATTTGGAATTTTGTAATTATATATGTTGACAGCGGCGAGAATCTTATATGCACAAAGACTGAAAGACACACTAATTCCCACAATGGAGGAGTGGGTGGTGAAGGTGATGGAGTTGATGGAGATGGTAAAATTGTTTTAATTAAAGATAATATATCTAGTTTTGTTTCTCTATGGAAACTGTTTCTGCACTTTTTGCTCGAAACTGAAAAGAAATGAAACCTTGGTTTGACTTCATATTTAAAGTTATATATAAAAAATAACTTGTTGATCCTTGCATATGTTGATGTTGCTGCTGTTATTCTCTAAATAAGAACCCATCCAGCACTGCAAAAGGAGTCTTTCTACTTCTGCTCAAAATCTCTTCCTTGTAAACCTCTGCATTCCCTTTCAATCTATCCCAGATTCTCTCCCAATTTTATGGGCCAAATTTTTGGCAGAGTGGACAGGAGAAATAATCAGTTTCACATAAGATGCCCCTTCCTCTGGCAGATGCACAGAAGTGAATAAAACCCACTGAACTGTGATTACTTAATAGTAGCTTTAGTGTCTTAATGCTATTATGAAGATATACACAGGTTTGCACTGAGCATCCATATTTTACAATGGTATTCTAAATGTGACTGTCTTAACGATGGCCATTAATACAGTAAATATTTTGCTGTTGCATTGATTAAAAAGCCGATAATCCTACTGCTTTTATCCTATCTGCTTTGCCCCACCTGATAAATTGATCCAATTTAGAACTGTTGAATAATTCATTCTTTGCTGTGATGTCCCTTTAGCTTTCAATAAAGAAAATGGCTCATATTTTATTATGTTTTCTTGGTTCTCATTGATTTTCAGACTTAACTGGGTAGTCTTGTGATAATTTGCAGGTTAAATGAAGTTACTAAGGAAGTGGTAATGTTTTCTGGTGTCCAATCAGAATGAAAGGCTGATTATGATGAGGAAGCTGGATTTTTCTCTTAGCATACAGCTTAAACTTGACTTTCAAATGTGCACATCACACATTTTTATTTCTACTCCCAAGGTTATCTCCTACCCATGTGTGTCTTGAACAAATAGGTCTTTAATGGGGAACACTTGGAATGACCTCCCACCAGAAGAAGTCCTCAAGTTTAGTTAGCAGCTGCTAATTCTTCTTTCATACTGTTTGTCAAGGAAGAGACAGTGACAAACATACAAGAAAAAGATCCAAATACTTGATAAGAAAGACCCAGGGCAAGACTCAGCTGGTGGCATTTCAATGGAACCACAGTGTTTGATCTATGGTGCCACTTATTGAATCCGTATTCAGAGGACCTTGAAATGATGACACAGGGAACTTTGTTGGTTTACCTATTTCTGCACCAAATACTTTTGAGAAACTTGGATAGAAAAAGCCTTGGGGGTGAGGACAATGATACAAACAAAACCAGAAATTAATTTGTGTCATCATCTATTGGCATAACATTGAGATAAAATCATTTCCTCACATTGGTTAGCTTTTTGAATTGCCTCCATCTGTACTTCTAGAACTTTGCCCCTACCAACAGGTCAGGAAATAGGAAAGCCTTCTTTAATGTCTCAACTCACATATTTTAGGTGCTATATTTATTTCAAGTATTCAATAGGTATCCACAATACAGTGTAAGGCAATTGTATTTTTGTTTATATGTGAACTCTGTGCTTGATGGGTAACATGACATTGTTGTGAAACAGTTCTTAGTATCATTATTCTGCTAATACATTGATGGATTTTGTTATTATCAATATTAATTTTTCATAATATCCTGAACAATGAGGGAAAACTTCCTTCCTTCCTCTCTCCCTCCCTTGCTCCTTTCCACAGTAACTTTGTCATTTGTTTCCAAGCAAAAGCTATTGCCTCCACACTCAAAGAGCCCAGAAATGTGTTGTGATAGCAAATATTTGGCTAACTTTTTCATCTAATCTAGAGGGGACAAAATGTTTGGTAAACACATATGATTTGAAATTTGTGCTAGTTCTAAAATAGTATAAATTCCAAGTTTTTAAATTGACAACAGATGTTGAATTAAGTGTGTTTAGTCAGTATAAAGCAGCCAACATGAAATGGATAAAGTGATAATTAGAATACTGAATAATGAACAGAGAAAAACAAAACCACTCAGGTATGCAATGCAGTTCATTGGTTTCCCATGAGCAAACCAAATATTAAAAAAACCTACCTTAAAATAACTGTTAGGATAATAAAGGAAAGATGATTTTATGATGTACTACATTTGGAGTTTCTTGGAGAAATGCAAACGATAACCCAATACACAGAAGTATACAAAGATTGTGGTGTTGAGTTTGCTCTTAAAAAGACATTCTGTAAAAAAAACTATGTCAGATACTCTTACCTTAAGCAGGATCACAATTATAGTTTCCCCTTGTGGAGGTAGATGCTAATGGCTTCCATCACCATTACATGGAGTTCTCAAAGAGATCATTGAAGAACTTTCCAGCTGAGCATTTATGAGCCTATTGTTTTCCTGTAAATGATATACTCACAGATTGCTGGACAATGTCTTCTAAAACAAGCAAATTAAAAATATTATGACACATGAGAGGTGTCATGTAAATAAATCACAGATACTATTTCCTGTGCATGTGCCTGCTCATGCTCTTTCTACCTGATATTGTAAAAATTTTGAAGATTTAAGAATAATTTCTATGTACAGATATCAATGTGGTATTTAGACTGTTATGAAATACGCTTATTTTTCTAACTTAACCAAATTCCCAATGGAAATAGATAAGCATACTCTCTTTTTTCTATGGCTGAATACACTGGAAGTGTAAATTGGTGTTTATGTGGGATTTCAGCAAAAGAAGTATTTTGAAAAAAAAATCCCATACCTAGGTAGAGATATCATTTTGGACTTTGTTGGTTTGGTGTTCAGTGCTTCAAAAAGTTGTACCATAGATCACAGTATGGGAATTTTATATGTGAAGCTACTGTTCATTTCATTGACAGTTATCAATCAATTAATCTGTAGGTAATTTTGCATGTCACCAATCTAGCCAATGAAATAAGTTTGTAGCTCTAAATCAAGGTGACCGTAAGTAGCTGCACCTTATGTACTTCATTCATGCATTATTCATGCATTATGAACTTGAATATATGAGGCATCAAGAGGAAAACTTTCATATACAACTGTGGGGAAAAAACCTGAGATGGGTACTTTGTGATTTTGCCCTTGAAAATAGAAATCTATATCCTCTCATTTTCAGTTCTCCCTCTTATTAGATAAGGATTTATCAAGGAATAATGTTGATGCTTCTAGAGATATTTTCTCAATGACATGCATAGGTGAGCATGCTCACCTATACACATCACTGAGGAAGTGATGTCTGGAGACAACAACATTAATAGGGCTAATCAATTAATTTTGTATTTGTACATTGCACTATTTTGTATTTGTACATTGTGCTATCATGAAACACATTCATTTAGTTGAATTTTTAAACCTATTCCATGAAGAGCATTTATGTTTAGCAACATTGTCAGTGAGCAAATATGTGGAGGCTTTGTAGGTCTCGTTAAATATTACATTGATGCTGTGGACTGTGCAAACATTTAAACTTTCAGGTATTTTTCTTCAAGTCATATGACTAAGCATCTACAGGAAGAACTAGGGTAACAAGAAAGAGGACTGTCTAACCCTCTTGTCTGAGTGTTAAAGGGGTAAGGATGCAAGGTGGGCCTTAGAGAAACCTCACAGAGCTTCTATTTGTTGACAAGAAACAAGGAAATAATTGTTGGTTTCCAAATGTTTGGAAGTACAAAATACAGCTGTTAAAATAAACTTTTCTGAGAGATACAGCTTCCTTATTTGGGGAGGGGGCATGGACAAAATCAATTGAGCAGATTTTATCTCAACAGAACTAGGAGATAATTTAGCATGTTGTACAAGACAAAACAAATAAAGCAACAGATAATAAACCAGATAGAATTACCAACTTAGGAAGTGTAGTAGTTCCTCTTCCTATATAGAGCCTTTGTGCTGAATGGTGAATGTGGTAATTAAACAACATCTGATGTTTGCTCCTATGGAGCTTTCTTTTGCAGTGTCCCTTCTCTGACAATTTTTTTTCTGGTGACTATGGAAATCTATTTGAGAACCATGGTCTGTGGTGGTTACAAATTCTTCCAGAAATATTTTCATCCTTTTGTGATATAGTGGCCCAATGCACATTTTGCCCCGATTAGGGTTTGCTTATGCACAATTTATTGAATAAATCACTATTTGCTGGGTTGACACATAATGCTAATCAGCAAATCATGGCACGGAATGCACATCTGACACATTAGGCCAAAACCAACAAACCAAGTTGTGTCTTCGTTCTATGTGAATCCATGCAGTGAACTTTCTGTTTTGATGTTAGGCTGGGAAGCCTTGTATTTGCATATATATTGCACTACAGTAAACATTACCCCAGCATGCTAGCTAGGGAATTCTGGGAGATGAAGTCCACAAATCTTAAAGTTGCTAAGGTTAAGAAACACTGATTCAATGACATCATTCGTTATCCCTGCTAAGCCTCCCTAGGGCACTGCTGCCCCCCACCAGGGCAAATTATAAGCACTTAAAATAGGAGGATTGGAATTTTATGTCCTTTTGACTAAGACTTCCACTGTAAGCTTTCTTTGCTTTAAAAAGTATTTTTATCAGTATTATTATTTCAGCCTGATTTTATTTTTTTTTAATTCTGCAGGGTACGTTAATTTATGTCTTTTTTAAATAAGTAAATAAGAGCCAGGAGACCAAACATAAAGTAGAACAGTCTGGTTTTATTATTTTGTCATAAAGAGTCACTTTCTCCCTTCCCTTGCCATTTTAATTCTTTTGTAAAACACTTTAACTCTTTCCCCCCCTTTCTTCTTTTTCTTCTTCATTTTGTTTACAACATACATTAAACTGTGAATCTGATGATGTTAGGAATTTGTGGAGATGTACGGAAACTGGTGACAACACAGTATTTTTTTTTACAAGTTTACAACAAAAGAGAGTGTCTGACTTGGCTGCATCTACTGGGGTATACGAAAGGTGGAAAGAAAAGGCACACGTAGGTCCAAGAACCTTTACACACAAAGGGGTAAAAATGGGACAAGGAGCAGGAGGAAAGACATAGAAGAGTCTAAACAGAAAACAAAACATAGAGTAAAAAAATGGGCATCTCAAGGTGAACCCCATCACTGGTGTGATGTATATTAAAAAGGCAGATCCCTGAACAAGACTGCAATAATTCTTCATTTCTCCATTATGACAGACTGCTTGGCTAAGATGTAGCAGGGGGTACCATGCCCTTCAGAGTTCAGAGTTTAGTTTAGGGGCTGAGCTTCAAGGAGGAAAAACAAAAAGTCTGCTTAACTTTTCATGTGAATCCCTCATAGCTTAAAAAAAGACTGGGCATGGTGATTAAGGGGGAAAAAAAACAAAACCCCAGAAAGAAGCTTGCTTTGACTTTAACCAGCCCGCCAAGAGTGAACAAGAAGGCAGGGACAAAAGGAGAGCAGAGGCAGGCCCCTTTGGTTACAATCATCCTGATTTCCCTAACGACCATCTATATGTTGCTCCCAGCCTGAAGATTTTTCTCTCCAGGGAAACCATTTGCGAATGCTCTTTCTTCAGAGGCAACGAAACCAGCTCCACTGGAGTATAGAGACATCTTCTCTTCCAAAACCTTGTTCCTCCTTCTCAAATGTTCTGTCCAGACAATATCAAACATGCACATCCATTTCTCTCTCTTTCTTTTTGCCATAGTAGGCTGACATAGGTGTAATGACAGTTTAAAGGAAAATCTAAACACAAGCAACCGAGACTTTGTCAAACTATACGTTCCTGCACACGCTCTGCCCGTTTCCCCCACCCACCCATACAAATGAAAGCTGGATTTCTCTCTTATAACAAAAAGTAGGTTGTAAGAATTATCTGGGTTTGCTTTCCCACTGAGAACCAGCAGGAACCAGCCTGCTTTACGTTTATTTCCATTTTATTCCATAGGCTATACAGCCTTAGGCCTGGATTGTTTTGCACCAGAATGTCAACAGTACATAGTGCTTGACTTTGATGATACATCACACTACTGGCAATGAGAAAGGACACATTTCCACACTGAAGTGATACCAAAATATCCAGGAAGATGGATATGCTGTCACCAAACAGTATCTAAACTGCCAGGATAGCACAAAAGTAATGCGAAGGCCAAAATAAGCATGATTAGGATTCACATCCAAGCAACATATATTGCTGCCCCTTGCTTTCTTGTGATCAGAGGGCTGTTAATTCTGCAAACTGAAACATAAAACTGTGCATCTTCCAGTTCTTTAGGGCAGGGCTCTCCATTCTTGGCAACTATAAGACTTACGGACTTCAACTCCCAGCATGGCTAGCTAAGGAATTCTGGGAGTTGAAGTCCAAGTCTTAAAGTTGCCAAGTTTGGAGATCCTTATTCTAGGTGAATAAGAAAGGGGAGAGATAAATAAATATCTGATTTATTCTAAGGAAAGGGGAACGATTGTACATACTACAGCTTACAAATATACACAACTGAGGGTGTAAGGCACAAATTTACATGTGGGAAAAAAATCAGATGTATTCTCATCAAAACAAACTCTGTGTGGTAAAATTGAAAACTATGCTGGGAGAAACCAGTGTGCAGATGAATTTGCACTGTGCATTTTTGTTTGTCGGTTTGTCATCTCACATGCAAGGATGAAATGAGATGGCAGAAATCGAGTGGGTGCTTTCATCGAAAGGATCAACTATTGACAAAAACTGTGTTCATGGCAATGGGGCATGGAAGTAGAGTGTTCATAGAATTTATTTTGTAAGACATTAGTACTTTAGGAAGAAAGGAACTTTAGGGAAAAATGGTGTAGTGAGAGGTTTCTTCCTTGGTTTGCAACCTGACCTTAAAAGCTGGAAGCCAGCTTGCAGAATGGACCGACACTGAAGTAAGCATTTCCCTCTAGTTTGTCTTCCAGAAAGAGATCAGAGAGTTCAAACACAAAAGTTCGGAATTCCATCTCCAACTTATTTAACTCAGTGAATTTATTGGAAAAATAAAAAGAGTTTTAATTACTCTAGTTAATGGGGTTTCACGTTAAATAGGCATAATTTTCAATGTATTTTGTTTTTCCTTCTGGAAAGAGTTGCTCATATGATGGTAGGCATAAGTAATTTCCTTAGGATTTTAAAAAAGACAAAAAAGATGAACAATAAATAATCATAGTTACTTGCGTTAACAGTCACATGTTATTCATTAAGAGAGAAGAGTAGCAATAACCTATGACAGAGTTGTTCTTGCCCAACATGGCAAATCTGCTATAATCAAAAGGCTGTAACACTGATGGGCTTTCACAGTACCTGCATATAGTAAGAGTCTGTCACGGTTCAGTAAGAGTTAGCTTAAACAATAGGTTCCTTTTGTCTTTTTGTGAGTTGTTCCTTTCTCAGGGCATTTTTGCTTTCAAAGCACTCATTTCCCAGTTCTAGGATGTTCTGTGCAGTTAAAAGTGAAGGATCACAGTCATCTTTCGTGTGTGTGCTTTTGGCTCAATGTTTGCAGTTAGTCTTTTGAGTGAAGAGCTGTTGTATTGTGGGGGTGGGTCCTACAGTTGCAAACCATAGACTGTATGGCCCAATTCCTTAAAAATATCCCACTTTTCCCCAGAGCAGAATGTCCTTCAGCTTTGCAGTTTCTTGGTCAGTTGAAACTAGCATTGCCGTTGCTGAATCCTGGTTTTTAAGGATATTCCATGATTCACAGCTGTCCCCACCCCCACCCCACGGTGATTATGTACATGCATCATTAGGCTTCATGGATGCTGAAAGAGGGGAAAAAGAGGGCTTGGGGGGTACATCTGGTTTTAACGATGGTGTGCGTTTCAACCCTGATCTTGTCAGCGAGTTGTATGTGGTGAGACTGGGCTGCCTAGAAACAGTCACAGTCTGACCCTGAGCAGCATGGACTTGTATGGAGTCCACTCTTTGTGGGGCAGGAGGAGGATTGTCTCCCCTGCCAAAACTCTGATTTCTTGAAAGGTGGGAGGAATTAGAAGAATTAGTGTTATTTCTTTTGAGTGTTGATGTTTGGTGATTTCTCGTAAGCGAGTTCGTAGGGTAGTTTCTCTTGTAGTCCACGTTATAAGCAGAAGAATGCATCTCCAATCGCTTCCCTAGACTGCTCTGAGCAAGAGAGGACCCAGGGGGACCAAGAGAAGCTTCTCTCTGGGGGACTTTTGGTGGCATGCTATCCAGGTTTTCGACGAGATTCACCCCATGATTTGGACTTTTGCCACTGAGATGCTCTTTTATGGTTTTGTATTCAAGAGTAGCATTTTGGTCCTCCATGGCCATCTGTGCCACATCACTCATTTTAGGCTGATCAACATATTCATGCTGATAGCTTTGCTGAGAAATAGGCAGGACTACAACACTTGGGATATGACTGGGAGAAGCCCTGAGAGGAAGGTCTGTGGGAATCACAGGTGACGCCATGGGGGGAATATCTTTTGTACAGGCATTGATGAGATTCTGGTTTCTCTCCCAGTCTCTGCTGCCACGGCTTGGCTTCCTCTTCTGCTGAAGTGTCGGGGTGGACTCTGGAGTAGGTAGAGCAGCCAAGTCCAGATGATGTTGGTCAGCTTTGATGAGCATCTTGGCTGTGCTTCCTGGAGTAGCAAGCTTACCGTTGTGCATGAGAGGGGTGAGAATGGCTTCAGGCTTTGGCTCTTTGGACTGACTGTCTCCAAAGAGACCACTGAGCTTAGTGACACTGTTCATTGAACCTCGACGAGATTGGACCAGCTCCTTCTCCTTCCTCTGCACAATGGTCGCATCTCGACGCCGATGGTCACAGATGCAGTACACTATGATCCCCGAGAAGACGGCTCCCATGACAAAGGCAAGAATGACTGCTATAGCCAGGAGGGTGACAGGCACCAACTGATCATGCCCCTTGAGATAACTCTCACGGATCACTCCTGCAACAAATATCACAAAATGGTAAGCAGAAAAGTACATGCTCACATAAAATGTTTCACTTTAACAACATACACTAGATGCCTCACTGGTGCTCTGACAAAATAATTGATTTGGGCTATATCACGTTTGGTAGAAAATTCCTCAAATGGTGCTTTGATGTCTGTAGTGACTCTGGTTTTTGCCAGTAGGGTGTTGCTCCTCTACTTTCTACCAATTGGCCAGAAACCAACCATGAGCTCTTCTGGATATGATGGAAAGTCATGTATCTAAAATGTTTTAGTAGATTGTACTGAACAGAGAGTTAAGACTAGATGTTCTGTGAGGTCAATTTCATCTCCATGATACTAGAACTATATCATGATGAACATTTGCTTAAAATGTCATCATATTTTGCAGATCATTTGACTATATGTAGTAATAATCTACACTGCTATAATTAAAAGTAAAAAAAAATGCAGCAGGGCAACAATGAAGCTGATTATCTTGGATGACAAGGCTTTACAGAAAGCCTACATTTTTGCATAATTAATTAGAATAATATTTTAATGAAGCTGGTGTCTCATTACTCGCTATGCAATTGAACTGCTGTTCCTTTATACTAGTGTCATGAAAGATGCATGGTATATCTACATACATTGTAAATTTTATGATTTTAGAAGCTGAAATGTTTGTTTTTTTTTTTAAAAAAAGATCAATTTTAAAATTAGCTCTCTGTGGAAATTATTATGCTGCAATTAGAAATTTGCTATTTCATATAAGGAGTAATCAGCTAAGAATAAACTTCTCTAACTTTCTCACAATCAGGTATCATCGCTGAGTGCCCATGTTCTTTTTCTTAAATGTATGTCCTGTATTTTTACTCAACAAAGTTAAAAACAAAACCAACAAATACACAAAATGTAAAACACAACAGTAAAATGAATACATTTAAAATCTAATTCAGAATCAGCATCAGTGCAATAATCAAGTCAAAAGTTTAGTGAAAGAAATATGTTTTTGCCATTTTCCTAAATCTGAGGCCAATGGGACCAAAGATGTCTCCTTGAGGAGAGTTCTTCCAAGCCTGTGAGTCATACCTACCAGAAAGCTTTGTCAGAGACAAACCAGCTCTTATGGGGAAATAACAGACACCCCTGTTTTTATGAATGGGTTTAATCCTCATTTAAATTCATCACCAATCTCATATACTGCAATAAGTCTCATCATAAGCATGCATGTGGTGAAAAAAGATCTTTGTCTTGTTTCTTCGTGGTCAGGAAAAATATTTCTATCAGCTTCCAATGCACAAATTAACATATTTTAATATAACCACCACCACCACCTAAAGTTACAATATTGTATTGAGGGATCCAAGGAGGCAGTTCTGCAATATTGTTTTAGACTTTTAATACAATGGGATTCTCTTTAGTGTATTACTTTTACAACTATAAAACATGGTGAACTCATTATTAATGGTCTGTTTATTCATTTTTACCAAGTAGGGCCAGGGCCAGAGACTCTAAGACTATCATTACAAGTGAATCTGAAAGAAAATGGGGCGCAGAATTCTATGTGCTCCATTCTGTTCCCTGTCCCTTCCAATTTTTTAAATGTCCGCAACTGCATTGGTTGCGTTCTCAAGTCAATGCTATACAAACATATGTCTGCAATATCTTAATTTGGATTTCAGGACTGGACAAGGAGTTTGAATTGGTGGCCTGCAAAATCTACAGTTTTAAGTTGGAAATCTCCACCCCCCCATACCTTAGATAAATCTCATAGGTAAAACAGCTGTATCCCAGAATCACTTTCTAAATATGACCCAATAAGGAAGGCTGGATCCAAGGAAAAAAATAATGCGCCAAGATCCAATTCAACCAGGCAATTCTGAAGGGCTGCATAGCTGATGAAAAGTCACCCAAGTAATCTTGAAGTAATGATCCCAAGGAAACAACTGGCATCATGTACAAATCAACTATATGATCTAACTGAATTTTATAGCATGATTTTGTTCACTTTGTAAAATATCACTAGCTTCGCTGTGTTCAAAAATATTAAATATGTCATGGTGGTTGACATTTCTCACTGGTGAAGTTATTAAGTTATTAAAGTAGTCGAAGCAAAAAGAGCTTTACAATGTCTACAGGCTTTACAGAAAAGGATCTTAAAAAAAGCAGACAGCAATCAGAGGCAAGCGCTGTTTAAATTCATTAGACTTGTTTCTGAAATCACAAATAGAAATGGCAAGATGCCAATAAAACCCTTGATGTCTAGGTTTTCTAAAAACAGATTTTAGAGAAGGGTAGATGATAGTAGAAAAGCCAAGCCAAATGGCAGGCCAATTTAGGGTCAGGCACTGGTGAATGAAAATACAAACAAGCTTGTATTTGTCATTGTCATATTATTGGACAGCTGACCAATATAAATGGGGTCATTCTTGCAGTGCCATTTTTGTGGTGCTAACTGCCCTCCAAATGTATCCAACTTAAACTCCTATAATTCCCAACCGAGGCAACCAAAACACATCTGGGTAAAGCCATCGGATTAGAAAAAGTTGCCATTTGCATCATGATGGTGAAACTCTACTTATCTCTACAAACCTGGGTTAGTGTTTTGCCAAAGGGTTTTCTGGCCTTTTTTCTTTTGACCCCTTCAACTGTTGAGTCTTAGTGACTATGTGGACTATTCCCTGCAGTTTTCTTAGCAAGATTTTGGAAGTGGTTTTCTCTTGCCAGCATCCTATGGCTAAGATAGAGTGACTGGCTCAAGGTTATGCAGCTGGCTTTGTTCTTAAGTCTCCTGGTTTCTAGCTTGATGCCTTAAGCACTACAACAAATTATGTCTCTTGCTATGGCTTAGTGAGAGAAAAATATAAAATGGGCACACCTACAGCATAAACAACTGTTACTATCAGTAATGCTTGATTCTCTTTGCTTTAGTCTATACAAAATATTTTTATTACCTTATATTCACTGTTACATACATGTCAACAAAATGGTACCAGACCTGCCTATTTTTTTTGGTGATCACATCATTTACCAAGGGTAGCCTTTTGTCTTTACAGTTGCATCAATCCAACAACAACCACACAGGGATGACAGATCCCTGCTTGTGGAAACCCACACTTTGGCCACTTTATCCAATGGCCAAAGTCTGGTTTTCCACAAGCAGGGATCTGTCATCTTCTCCTTGTGGTTAAATTTAATATGGAGAAGATCACAAGACAGTTATCTTTCTTCTAATCTTTCCAAATGCTGGCACCCTTAGAAATGAGAGCACGGTTTGGTAAGTGAAATACAATAGGATTTTTGGAAGGGCTGATGAGAAAGCCACCAATGAAATGTATAACATTTCAGTGATTACAAGTTCTGTGGTGAAGATGCTGACCATAAACTCTACATGAAAAGAGCATGGCAGCTATTTTTAGCTTCTCAATTTGGAATGATGCCTGCTGTGGTTGGTTGGGAAGCATCTCTCATCCACTTCCCTTACAGCTCCAAACCTGGCAGAGAATCTCTTACGCTGTTGGTCAGTTCTGCAGCAGAGTGACTGTATACATCGCTCCTTTTGTTTATAATGGAGAAAATAAAATCCATTCATAAAGTGACAGCTTTATTGTGTTAGAAACATATCCCTGTAGGCACTGTAATTTCATTTCTGAAATACACTCAATGAAGGTTTTAGCGTTCCACTGATAACACTCCAATCACACTGTTTGCCTGCAATTATTTTGTGTCAGGGAAATGGCATATTAATAGGGAATTTTTCACACTTCCATTCCCTATCCAGGGTTTTCTATACTGTAAATTTAAAACATATTTAAGTCTTATTATGGACAAACAGGAAACGAAATTGAGGATTTTAGTTAAACTGAAAAATATGTAATATGATATGGCTGAGATGAAATAAAACATGGTCAGCTGTTTCTTTTGGGAGAGCTGAAGGCATCTGTTTATTTTGGGAGAGCTCAAAGCAGCTGGTATTTATTAGATTTAGATTTGAATATGCGAATATGGTTCATTGCAGATTACTAGATAATTGTAGTTCATCCCAGTTTCATTAGTTCTTTTCAGAGTATAGCATTCCTCCAAGGGTATAAAAGTAAGACAGTGCCCTTGTAACTTTTCTGTGCAAATCTCAGTGCTTTAAGATATGGCTAAAAACAACCTCTAGAAAACAAAATATTTTTGTAAATTTCTTTGTCATCTAGTGATCCACATGCCATTCAGTTCTGGTAGCTTTAGCAAATATAAAAAATATAGTTTCTGAATGCTGGATTTCTGCATACAGTTCTAGGAAAAATTATTTACCCTCTTTCACTTTGCCTGAGTTTTTTTGCATATCTTAAGAATTACTTTCTGTGGGCCCTACTAATTATAAAGGAAAACTGAGTGAACAGATAATACTGTAAAGGTCCTGTTATCATTTCCTGTACTTTGTAAACAATGTAAACAAATCCAGCACAGGATATGCCTAAGTGAAAAAAAAAAGATTTATTTTTTTAGATTTAGTTAACTTGTAAGAGCAACCACTATAAGCAAGATTTCTCCACATCTGTGATTAGTCTCTCATGTAACTGCATAGGAATACTCATCTTTTCCTCCATGGTGAAGTGCTCAGTAATGTTTGAGGCTTTCTAGTATGATCCACTTGTTTCAGGTCCTGCCACAACCTTAGTTGGGCTTTAGATCTGAATGTTGACTTGACTAGTCCAAAAACCTGTCTTTGTCCTTATTCTCTTATAGATGTGTTTGTATGGGTTGAGATCTTTTTCTTGCTATATAATCCATTTTTGCTTCAGCTTCAGGCCAAGTGATATTTCCCTGTACAATTCTCTGATACAAAACAGAATTCATGCTTCTTTCAATGGTTTCAGGTCATTCAAGTCCTGAGGCAGCAAAGCAACCTCAAGTCATGTCATGCCACTTCCATGTTTGACAGCTGGTATGAGAACCTTACAATACAGTGTCTGTTTTTCATTAAACATTATGACAGTCATGTGGCTGGAAAAAAATCTTTG